GGCGGGACCACAGCCCAGCTGGCGGCACACCACCTCCGCGTCCGCCAGGTCCCAGGCGTCGTCGCACACGGTGCCCCAGGAGCCCGCGTGCCAGAGCTCCACGCGCCCGGAGCAGCGGGCCTGGCCCCCGCGCAAACGCACTGCGCCCTCCTCTGGAAAAGGGGCTGCCGTCACTCAGGGGGCTGGACGGGGTGGGAAGGAGGACAGGGACAAGGACAGACGGGTACCTGGGCAGCTGAGCGAGGAGGAGCAGTTGAGGGTCTCCCCAGGGTCCTGAGGAACTTCTCCTGCCTTTTCTGCGTAGGAAATTGGGACCCGTTTCTGTATTTGCAAGCTCAGCAGCTTAAATCTTGTAAACGATTTTTCATTTCCTTTTTCTCTCTGTCTCCCCAGCACAGCGATTTCTGCTGGCTAAAGAGAGAACTCTGTTTATGCAAGGGATCTCCACATGGGATTACAGATTCCACAGACTGTGCCTGAGACTTCTCCAAGGGGCACATCTCCCTGCAAGATGTCCTTGGACAATACCGGGAGGTGCAGGGGCCCTGCTTCCCTCACTGGGGGAGATCACAGGGTCTGGGAAGACTCCAGATGTTCCCCGCCCCTGCAGCGCAGAGCCTCAGAGCAGGGACCGTCCCCTTTCACTGGACCAGCACAGGGCAGAGTCATGCAGAATGAGGACAAGGGAAGCTGACATTTCCTCTCCTAGGAAAGGGCCCATGCAGACACAGTGTGGGGCCACTCAGAGACCCCTCTCCACCACCATTCCCCCACACCTGCGGGCCCACCCACTCACCCATGCACAGGACCCAGGCTTCCTCTCCACTGGAGCATGAATGCTGGTCCCAGGGAGCTGACGGGCACTGCCACAGGGACTGGTCATGTCTGTCCCTGCACTGGATGGAGGCCACCCAGAGAAACTCAGTGGCAGACTGGCTCCCTGCCGCAGCCTGCAGCTGCCCGTGAGACCCACAGCCCAGCTGCCCACACAGGACCCGCAGGGAGGCCGCACTCAGGGTGCGGCAGACATCACCCCAGGTCCCATTGTAGAAAACTTCCAGCCGTCCTGCGCATGGCTGCCTGTGGCTCTGCAGCCTCAGATCCGTGAACTCTGCAGAGAGAGAAGCCAGTCAGGTTAGCAAGGCCCAGCTAAGAGTGTGGGTGGGGAGACAGGGTGGACAGGCTTCAGGACCTGAGCAGAAGACTCCGGCGTCTTCCTGGTGCCTGCAGTCGTGCCGGCCCCAGCCTGCAGACGGGCACTGCCACAGCACAGACTCGTGGCCCTGGCAGCGCAGCTCGTCCAGCCAGATGCGCCCCGCCCCGGCTCCAAAGTGCGCGGTCCCCGGGGCGCTCAGGGCGCGACCGCAGCCCAGCTGCCTGCAGACCACGTGCGCGTCCCGCAGGTCCCAGGCGTCGTCACACACGGTGCCCCACGGCCCACGCGGGACGCGGTTCCGCCCTCACCCGAGCACACCACGCCAGCGTCCCGCGAGGTCCCCGCGGGCTCCCGCAGCGTCGCGGACACGTTGCACCGGGTCAGGCGGGTCTCGGTGCCCAGACAGCGCGCGCGGCTCAGCGCCACCTGGATGGACCCGCGGCTGGGGGCGGGCGCGTCGTAGGCTCGCTGGGCCCCTCCGCACCCCAGCTGCCGGCACACCACGCCCGCGCCGCGCAGGTCCCAGGCGTCGTCCAGGACGCGGCCCCACATGCCGTCCAGGGAGACCTCCACGCGGCCGTCACAGCGGCTCTGTCCTTCCCGCAGCCGCAGGGCATGGGGGAGACCTGGGGATGGGGACGCACGGGGCCCCAGGGTGTCAGGGGGGAGGGACCCAGGACCACCCCCCCCCCCCCCCAGGCAGGCAGGTCCCTCTCAGCCCCTCTGTCCTTCCTTGCACCCTCTGTCCATGGCTCTCACTCACCCTCCTCCTCCTCCTCCACCGTCCTGGCTGCACCCACCTGAGCACACTGCGGAGGCCGAGTTTCCGGGGGCACAGGCCGGGGCCCCCAGGGTGCTTACTGGGCAATTCCACAAGTAGGGCTCTGTCCCCTCACAGTGAAACGCGTCAGGCCAGATGGCTGCGTCCCCGCCCCCAAAATGGCCTCCTCGAGGTGCGGCCACCGCGTTGCCACAGTTGAGCTGGTGGCAGAGGACGGTGG